ACAAACAAGAGAACAAGATCCAAACAAATCCGTTCAAAATCTATCGCAATCCATGCTGACATCCAATCTGCATTTTCATTACAATATTCAGAGGACAATATTTTAGATTACCCCACCTAATAAAATTAATTTTAATGGTTGCATTTCTTATTTATTTTTATTTTCATATTTAATTTTATTTATTGAGCTACGTTGTGACTCTCTGTACCCTCCCCTCCAATTATTTTAGAGTTTCAGTTTCAACTTAGAGAAAAGTTATATCTATGTCGTTTGCACAAAACATTAATAAGTCACATACAACACTTCCTTCACTTGTCAGAATGGAAAACAATAACAGAAAGTTAAGTTGCGCGAGGAATGATATTACTCAACGACTCCCGAACTTGATTCAGTTAGTTAATTTACTTTCGTCTGGGAGAGATATTTCTCATCCAACTTATTTTTAACCTCCTCCTCATACTGTTAGAAATTTCGATCAATATCATTTCAAATGTTTTTTTTTTTACAAACCTAGCAATCTTTATTTAATTTTTCAAGATAATATTCCAGAAATAGCTATGAAAATGCCCAAAACAAGAAAGTTTCTGGAGATAGACAACCTACCATCAGAACTGTTTAAGGCCGGTGAAGACATAAGAACTTATTTACTATAACTAATCTTGTATATTAAACCCTCCGCACGATATCCGGGGCAGTATGGAATCTGAATACTAACGCACGAAGAAGATCACTAAAGAGTTGCTTACAGAAACTGATCAATAAATATCTCATGATATGAAGGCAAGGAAGTTAAGATGGGCGGGGTATATAGCTTGGAAAAATCCATCTGGAATGATCTACACGACAATGACTGCCTCCATAGTAGGCACAATACCAGGTGGAATGCCAAAATGTAGATGGATAGATTGGGATAGAGAAGGGTGGTTATTGCGGCAAAAGATCTACGAGATCTGTAGTACACACAGAAAAATATATATATTATTCTATATTGGTAATTTGTGTTTAAATTTTATATTAAAGTACAGTGGAACTTATTAATATCCTCACCAAGTTTATTTAGTTTTTGTTTTTTTTAATTCGTGGTTTATGTCCAGGGCGAAGGAGCAGATTTGAATATCTCGTTCACATTTTGAATAACTAGTTGACAGTTATCTTGTTAATTAAATGGTAGCCATAACCACGATTTATAATACAGATTATACAGTTAATCGAGACAATTACCTTAATTTACGTTATAACCCTAAAGTCCCTTTGCTCAAGTTCGTGAAGACAAAGTGCTGTGAGGCTTGAAACATGATAGCTGTCTACTAAGTACTAAATGACGCTGTTAAACCTCATTTTCCTAGCTGTTTATCGTTAATGAACTAAGATCATGAATTTTTTTTTCTCCTTCCAATAATTTCATAAATGTTTAAACATTTGTTTGTACCTATTTTAGTACAAACACACTCTGCAACGCTAGAATATTGCATATAAAAACAGAATTATTGTTTGTTAACCTTCTAAAAATAATTGAAACAAGAAGTCAGGTGGATATTCCATCTTGTAAAACTTATTTACAAAGGGAGGTTTAAGACATATAAGATATAAAGATCGCTGATTGTAATGAATATTTTCGGTGATACTAGGTCAAAAAAAAATATTAGTTAAAAGTTTAAATATGTGTTCTGTCCGAAATGTTTCGATGGTTATTACCAATCCATTCTTGTAGCTGTTGCTTGTCCAAGCTCTGTAAATCCCTTCTCTCCTTGCCTGCTCTTTTCCAAGTATGGTCCAGACATCTTTGCGCCGATAATTCTTAGAGATGCCCAATGCAAGTTCTCTCTGAACAAGTGGTATCTCAGCACCATCTCTTGCAAGCTGGTCAGCTTTTTTATTTCCTATGACATTCTTGTCATCGGTAATCCATGTTAGTTTAAAGTTCTTAGGACGGACAAGTCTCCAATGCCTTGCACTTCCTTACTAGAGCGAAGGTCACTTTGATGACTTTTTAAGGCTTGAAGAGGCTATACAGCTGATCTCTGCCCTTTCACTACAGAAGACTTCCGAACACATGGCTCCAGACAATTTGACGGGTAACCATGAGTAACTCCGAGTTAATCTTTGGAGAATTAAACTATGGTTCTTTAGGAACTGTTTGAGCTTTTAGTTTAATTAATATGGATTTTCGGATGGTTTGGAATACACGGTTACTCCAAGTTAGGTATCGATGGAAGGAAACTCCAAGATTTTTCTTGAATTTTGGACTGGATAGAAATATTGTGAGGGAATATACTAATGGCTTTTGGGGAGTACATTTAGGGTGGGTTTCTAACAAATTAGAATTGCCTTAGAATTTGCAAATATAATATAAATATTAAGAAAAAATTGATAATTTGAAGATGGTTTTTAAGACCAAATAATGAAAATAAATAAATATATTACTTAACGAAATTTAATTTTATATTTTTATTTTATAAGACTGTTTTTTAGTGGTTTTTATCTCTCTCTATAGGTATTATTTCCTTAAGGTAAATACTCTCTAAATTATTTTTTGCAAGGAAGATTTTTCTCTTTCTCATGAAATGATGTACGTGAAATGATAAACTAGTTAATGCGGGGCCAGAGGCCTGTTCTGAAACTTAGAGTCAGGCTTTAAGTTAACCCGTCACGTAGCCGGATTATGGCTTTAAGTGCATTTCTAAAATGGCTCTCCTTGCTGAGAGGTTAATTAAGCCGGATGGCATTTCTCACTTAAGCTCATTCAAAAAGATTGTTATCTTAACCTATTAATTCTATGGTCGCTTTCACGAAAGCTTTTCTAATCTGATATCGTTGTACAGAAATATCTATTCCTTATCTCCGCCTAATAAATAAAGCATATAATTTTTACTTTCCTACCTATACTAGGTAAGGAAAGTATTGCAATCGGGTCAAATTTCTGACATGCGGTTTTCGACGGATCTATACGTTTCAGAGCCCCCTGAGTTCGAAAAACACATTTTTAGCCATTGGTCTGTCTGTCTGTGCCAAGATTTTCTCGGAAACTACTGAACCGATTTTATTGCTTCTTTTTTTCTTATTGTTACGTTGAATTAAGTCCCTCCATCTTCGGTGTTACGACAGAAAAATTTTTAAACGCTTTTGGCGTCTTATTTAAACGCTCAGATCCACTGCCATGAATTCCAGATAACATGAATGGGTATCATATAGCACAGAAAGTTAGGCATTACAGATTTCAAAAATAATTTTTAGATTTGGACTACAAGGGGAAATTAGGTAAGCTTGGTTGATGACTTTACTGTAAATCAATAAGATAGACCTTAGTAGACTTATCACATTTTTCGTTAAAATAAAAGAAATAAAAGACGAACAAATTTTGGTAAAACATATAGAAAACAAATTCGATCTTAAGGAAGCCTTAATAAAGGCCTGAACTTTGGGCCAAAACGTCGCCAAAAATAAACACTACTTATTTATTTCTACTTTGTATTTTGATTTAACACCCCAACCAACTTTTCTTCAATTATTCACTAAAATCAACCACAAATTTACTATTAAAAAATAATTTTGATTTTAATACATAAATTAACGGAACGTGATCGAATTTCTTAAATCATCATTTTAATATTGACATGGCACCAAACAACCATCCTATTACATCAGAAAATTACTAATAATAAAAAGTTTTTACTTGCTAAACAACCTGATAAAATTTTATTGTTATCAGTTTTCCACTTCTCTGATCACCGACCTGTTGCCCACAAGATTACTTTCAGTGAATGGGATTTATTTGAATACTAACGACATTTTTTTTCGTTAAAAATTTAATTTACAATAAAAATTTCTTTTCGAAAAATATCGTATAAAAAAAAATGTATATTATTATTGAAGTATTTCAGATGATTTTATTTGAAAAAATAAAAGCCTGTTGACTACCGTTTTAAAATCCACCATTGACAGACAATTTCGTTCGCATATTTGATAATTTATTTTCTATTTTTATGGTGAGAAGGAAAGAAAACTTCAATGGCCTCTAAATGAATTTAAATCATCCTACAGATGGCATTGTTTAAACAATAAATACGGTTATTTTCATTCAATGAATTTGCCACTGTTTCAAAAAAGTTTCTGCAAACAATTTTTAGCTATTCATAACAGTGATTACTTTTTGTATTATTAAATTTAGCTCTTCCTTGATAAGTTAAAATAAACATAAAATGTGAGAGTACATTGCCCACGCAGAAGAACATTTATGAAAATTAAAATTTCTTGTTATTTCAGTCCCTGATCAAGTTCCTTGTTTTGTTTGTTACTCGTCCCCACTTTTTTTTTTTTTTGCACCATTATAATTTTCTTTATTTAATTTAATATTTGTTAACTGTGTTTACATTCAACTCAATGTACACATTTTTAGCGACCTAGATGTGCCTTTCAAAGAGCTTTGTTTATTGGCCCAGAGGGAAATAAATTCTTGAACAGTCGTAATAGTGCCCAACCAGTAATTGTAGTATACTGCTGTCTTTAGCTGAAAACTAATAGTGATTCTGCACCTCTCTAGGAAGCTAAATTGGGAAATTTAAGTAGATTGAAATTCTTTTTACGAAGTGAAGTGTGGGAGTATATTTAGGTTTTAATATTTGAACCGGTTTTCCGGGTGTTAAATTCAGGAACACGGTTGGCACAGATACAATGTCAATATTTTATATGAATGGTCCCTATGTTTGTCCGTCGGCTTATATTGATTTGAATATTTGATTAAAAAGGCGTCCTCTCGATTCCGCTTTAGTTGCTCCGTATATATATTTTTTTCACCTCCAGTCATGCATATTTCTGAAGATAAGAGTATATAAATATCAGCAGTATAAATCCTATAACACATATATATTTTTAAAAAATGTTGGATATGTTAAATATAATACCCAATAACAGTTTTGGACCATAGTTGCTGATGCTCACACCTTCGAGGAATGAGTACGGCGATGATAACAATTTGAGATTCATGTCCGATTAAGCCTACTTTAGCTGGCTCCTCTATGGCTCCTCTTCCTTGTGAAGAGCAGTTTCAAGGGTCTAACAAGGCTCCAGCACCTGCTTAAAAGCCATCCATCCTTACATTTGGAACTGAAGCGTCTCTCTCTTCTCATTTCAAGAGACTCATCAGAATTGATTTTTCTTAGTGTCTGACTCTTCTACTACTTACTACTTCTAGGATGTATAGTTCTCATAGTTTCATATTTTCCTCCAGACTATATCTTTCCTCTTCTGTACCTCCTCAGACTGACACCGTACACTACCTTGGTCTTAAACACATGTTGAAATGAAACAGAAGACTCTTAATAGACGACTCAAACTACTTTAATCACTTTTTTTTCCTCATCTTCAAAACTAGAACTGAGACAGAAACTAAATACATACTTATACTTACTTAAACCAATATGGACTTATTCCTCACAGATACACGGTATAGCTGAAAAGACTCACTTACACAAACTTCAAAGTTTCCAATAAAAAATATTACGACTTATAACTAAAGCACCTTGGTACGTGACAAACAAAACCTTACATTCAGACTTCCTCCTGCCTAGAGTTGACCAACACATAAGAACTCTTTACAAACGATTTCACAATAATTTACTCGAACATACTAATCAGAGATGTGGCTTCAGCTGATATACCCATCAATACGGAGAAGAGACTAAAAAGGCGTAGGATGAGAGACCTCCCTCCTCAGCAAACCATGATAATTAATTCAAGCCAGAGGAAAGGTACTGCTGGGTGCTATCCTTCCCCATGCCTGACATGTCAGTATTATTGCAAGATTAATATTGCAAGATAAAATATATATATATATATTGTGATCAAGAAGAGATGACTAGATCGAAAAATAACTGCTGTCACCTTGATGAAATCTAACCTACCACCTTCAGATGAATAAATACCATTTTCCGTACAAGTTTTTATTTTTTTATTTTTTCTGGAAAGTTGTATGATATTCTTAGTAATTTGGCAATGATTACTTCCAATTAACTACAATTGAATATATTTGTTGTATTATCAAAATTGCATGTTTACAAGTTTACGTTTCGGGATATTTACTCCCATCTTCAGAGCCACAATCCCAATGATCTTGTGGATACATGGCTTAAAAATAATGTGCTCCATCGTCAGTTTTTAATTCATGTTATGATAAATCTAGGTATATAACATCTAGAGCAACATCTTGATTTTAGACTAATTATTGGGTGTCTGCCCCAGACACCCAACAGACCCCAGACACCCAATAATTAGTCTAAAAGCAAGATGTTGCTCTAGATGTTATATACCTAGATTTATTATAACATGAATTAGAAACTGACAATGGAGCACATTGGTTTTAAGTCATGTATCATCAGGATCATTGGGATTGTGGTTCTCATGATGGAAGTAAATATCCCGAAACGTAAACTTGTAAACATGCAATTTTGATAATACAACAAATATATTCAATTGTTGTTAATTGGATGTAGTCATTGCCAAATAATTGCAAATTTTTAGTTTAAAATCTTAATTTTGTATTAGGAGAGTATTAGGCAACTGGAGCCTTTATACTTTAACGAAGACACCAGGGTTTAAATCTCTATTTTGTATTAGGATAGTAGGAGCTTACAGGAGCTCAACACACATGTGATTAAATTAATAACCGTGTAATTATAACTAATTCCAGAGCTAATAGAAGAGCTCGTGCAATCTTCTCCTAATACTAAAATAAAATACGACATACGCAAAAACCTTTTTTATATATAATTCTCTCTCTCTTTCTCTATATATATATATATACATAAATTAAATGTTGGTTGGTTATTAATCCACTTACCTCAAAGGGGATAGCGAAGAGGCCCACTGCTATATCTGCCAGGGCTAGATTGGCAATGTAGTAGTTGGTGACATTGCGCATTCGCCTGGAGGTGAGTATGACCCATATGACGAGGCCGTTGCCGACGACAGCAGCTACGGATATGGATATGTAGCATATGGAGAGGAAGACGGTGAGGTAGGTCGGGGGCTCGTAGAGAGGCTCGTAAAGTTCCCCGCCTTCGGGGCAACCGCTGCTGCTGTTGCTGCAGTTCATAGCTCCATCTTCCTGTTCACATCTGAAACAGCTGTCGTTTGTATATTAGATCAGCTTATTGTCTGCTAATGTGTTCTGTATTCAGTTAAACATTGAACTGGAAAACAGGTATATACAGTGGTGTGAGAAAGTCTTCGAACAGAACAAATGCTTATAAAATGATAAATATTAAAAACTGTGGATTAATGGTTGACTTTAGTGAATAATTTTATTTTATTTTATTTTTTTAATTTCTTTATTGAGTATTACAACAATCTGTCTCTTGGACATTGGTTATAGTGAGGTAGGATGACATTCACACAATATGTACAAAAAAATAAATAAATAAATAGAAACAAAATAATAATCAAAAGTAGTGAATAATTGAAAATAAGAATGGTTGGGGTAATCAGTTAAAAAAAAAAAAGTATATTTATTTTTAATCGTTATTCAGCTAGACTGTTCACATACACACAGACAATTTTAGGGGTCTTGGTTATTCGAACTTTTTGGACCTCAAAACATCTATATCCGTTGAAAACTCATATTCGAAAATTTTCACGATCGCAATACTTTCTATTATATATATATATATATATATAATTATATATATATATATATATAAGTGAAAGTAAAAAGTCGGATCTCGAATTTATAATCTGAAACCTAATAACATGTGAGCGTTAAATAAACAATTAATTTTATTAAATAAATATTAAGTTGTATTAACAGATCTAATAAAATATAAAATTTCTAGCAAACTAATCGATGAAAAGAGTAAAAAATAATTGGAAAAATGACTGTTATTTATTATTTATTTTACGTAACAATATTAGAATTAGTTTTCATTATTATTAACAATAATGAAAGACTAGACCCACCGACATGCGAGAGCTGTAAGGTTCAAAGAACAGTCCAACACATCTGCAAGGACTGTCCAGTATTTAAGAATAAAAAAAAAAAAAAATGAGATATGGCTCAGAGCCTCCTGAAAGAAAATGAAAACCTCACTGACAACGGAAAAGCCGTTAAAAAAAACATGATATTTTTAAAAGTTCTACATCAGAGTATGAACAAAAAGTGTTGCCTATGGCCCTACAGGGTAGAGGCAACAATAAAAAAATAAATAAATAAAAATATCGAGCAATAAAAAAAATTGATGAAAAACAGAAATAAATTGGTGTCTACCTCTTGACTATTAACCTATAAATGTGCCATTCGAAATTCTTGAGTTAGAACATTATGTAAAAAAAAGCTTGTTTTATTTTGAGTATTTTTAATAAACAAATTTCTACAAGATTCTTCTTTAAAAGGTAAATAAAAAAAAAAAAGTGAAAATCAAGTGGTACATTCTACTATAATACACGTGCTTCAAATTAAATTGATTGTGTTGTGTTAGCGTCATAAAATTTAACATAAATAGTTATTTTAAAGACAGTGTGTTCAGATGGAGAATGTAATGCCATATTCAATTTGCTTAAATAGCAGAGAATATCTCTTTTGTTTATTTATCCGATTGGTTTTTCTTTTATGAATATTTATACAACGTACCCCTTGTTTTTGTATTTTCTGTTTATTTCTATTTTGGTAGGATTCTCAGTATGTAAGATATGATGTTGGGTTCCTGAACTGTTTTGTTTGATTTATCCTGTTCTGCTCATCCTAAAATCAATACGGCTAAAGACGGAACTGTTATCAGTAATACATGATATTGGACTGTTAATCTCTGGTATTGCTTCTGTCCCGGAAGGGGCCCTTGCCCTCATATGAAAGGGAACAAATATGAACATTTTTCATGGTTCCTGACAGACCCATTATTTTGGAAGCCGTACTGGTAAGGGTTGATCCTGCAGTATTCATTTTTATCATTTCAGCATTATCCTTTGAAGTAGTAATCTAGAGAAACCAATGAGCGCATGAGCAGTTAGGGATAGTACCAATGTATACCAATTCGTCTCTTTAATTTTAGTAAGAGGTTTTTTATCAATGAAGAAAGCATTTTAAAATATACCTTTACTTATAAATAAATAAACTCCTATAATATTCAAAACATTGTATGTCCATATGATATTAAGTTTTTATTATGCATCCTATACGACTAATGAACTTATCCTAAAGACCCAACGATTGGAGTTTGTTTACACCGTTTTATTTTGCTAAATGTTTGTTCATTGATACTACCAATCGTGAAATTTTACTGTAGAATCATTATACTTTTTTAATTATTCCGTTTTCTACAATTAAATTGAAACTGGCATGGTACCATACTAATGAGATATTTGGCTTCAGATAATTTGTCCATGAATATGAAGAGATTGAAAAGATGCGGGATGGGTGATCTTCTTTCTTGACAAATCATAGGAATTGAATCGAGCCAGGAGAACTTTTAGTTGTCAAAAGTTCGCCGATAAATGTTGATTAATATTTGAAGAAAAAAAAAAAAATTATTCTTTTGTTTAATAGTCATTATCTTGATAATAGTAAGTGGAATTGTAAAATTATTTCGATATTAATGATTATGGTAGAATGGATTGCTAAAATTAAAAAGAACCGAGACGTCCTATTTTATAAGGTTTTGAAAAATAGTAAGCACCTTCTAAATTAATTATTTTAAAATATTATTTTTGGATAATTTTCATAAATACTCCGAAATACTACCCCGGTATTTTCATTTGTTGCAAGTCAGCTTTGGTGGAATTACATCGTATTTGCAGTCCTTCTATTTATATTTTTTTGTTTAGAATTAATTAAAATAAGCGTCATATTAAAATTAATTATAATTTATTATAAAATCTATGTGTGGCTCATAATTGTTATTATTATTTTGTTATATTATTATTATTTATTTTTGCAAGGTCTAGGTCGTAGGGTCATTGAGGCATTGGCCTGGGTCGGGCCGTAGCTATTCTTGTATTGCTATAACTTTGTTACTAGGGTTCAGTTTTGTTATTCTATTTATGTACCATGCAAATTTATATTATGAAGTAATATTGTAATTATTTATAGAATTTTATATGTATATATTTGTTTATGTATTGCGAAATAACCCCAATTCCAACTTTACATAGAGTGTGAATCTGCTCTCTGAACACTATTATAAATGTCCTTTATTGTGACAGTTTGTAATATTTCTCAATAAATAAGTTTTTTATTTATTTATAATATTTACAACTATATTAATATAAATACATCAAGTAAATGTGTACAGAGAAACTACCCTCTGGTAGCACTCCAATAATCTTCTTTTCTGACGCCTCGGAGGATTATTAGGAATTGAGGAGGAAGCAAGGTTAGAAACAATCGGATGGCTATGAAGTTTATTATGGAAGGATAGATATCGGGATTGGGCCAAATCGGAAACATATGGAACATTAAGGTTTTTATGAATTATTTTATTTGTGACAAAGTAAGGAGCATTAAGGATTTTACGAAGGATTTTGTATTATAGGGATTGGATACTAGAGGAATTCGATGATTTATTGGAGCAACATAGCTCAACTCCATAAGTCCAAGTAGGTCTTATTATAGTCATGTATATGAATCTTTTGTAATTAATTGGAAGCTTAGTTCGTTTGTCTAGTAAATGGAGTAAGCGGAAACGTCGAGCTGTTTCTTGTCATTTCAGTCTCGTATGAGAAGTCCAAGTGGAGTCCTAGGTATCGGATTAGTTCAACAGGGATAAGTGGCGATTTATTAAAGGATATTGTAGGACAGGAAGTCATATGTTTACGAATAAATAAGTTTAAAAATAATAAACTGAGCTATATAAGGACGTTAAAGAAGAAAGATTAATAGCTCAATATATTTTAAAGAAACTAGTGCTCGTGTTTATAAATCATAACGCATTATTAACATTTTTTATGAATTTATAAAAAATAAAATGTACCACTTAAATCCATAAACGAGTCTGGGTTTAATCTGAGTCTAGGGTCATATAACGAGTGATGGCTCATGTGCTCGTATTATGGAGGCTGTGCCTGGTTTAGAAGAGTATTCTAGGATCGACCTGAGGCTGTTAGAACAGGAAATAAACAGTTTTATTGTCCCACTCGAATCAGTGGTAAGTTCTCGATATTAGATTTTTTTTTTTTACAACATGGCCATTCAACTACTTAAATCTCCCTCTATTAAACAATCAGTATTATTCATTTATATTACTATTGGTAACATAAATAAAACTATAATAAAATCAAATATAAAGTTAAAATATTTAAATTAAAAATAAAATTATAAAAATATATTTTCTGAAAATGATATAGACTAATGAATCAGATTCTATAAATATACGATATAAATTCTTACTTTTTAGTGTTCAGAATTTTTTATTCAAGTATTTGGTTGACAAATAAGTTCCAGTTTATTAGGGTGAAACAAAATCGGTATATTATAGACATAAACTTTATATTAATTTACAATATATTGACCATTATTTAGCAGAATCTGTTCTCATATTTCCTCTAACTGCATAATGCCACGTTCATAGCATGCCTAGGCTTTATTGTCAAAAAAACTGATCAGATAGTGGTTCGAAAAAACTGAAGTGATTTTTTGTGTCTTGTGTCGGAATCGCTCTTAGTTTTAGTCACTTGGAGCTTGGTCTGGTGAGTAGGAGGATCGGGTAAACATTTCCAACCTATGATTAATTTATTTTTGCCAATTTTAGTGATTAGTGACGTCAAGCCTAGAAATGTAGCCGAGCTTGTGGAAACGTTTCTCTGTGCTTATGTGTGACACACCTAGGGCTATCGCAATCTCTCGCACTGATCGGAGTATTTTTATAAGCACTGGCCTTAATATTACCAATTTTAATTACTTAAACTTCTCTGAAATAGGTAGGAAAGTCGTGTGAGTGGACACCTCGGTTTTTTTTTTCCAACCCCTACACGAATATTAAGGTTTCGACAGTTAGGAAGAAAAATATTGTAGTGTAGACGCAGAACAATGAAAGAAACATTACTGCAAAGAAAATAGAACAATATACCTTAATTTATCATACTAATTTATCGAAATAGGAACCCTCTTGTTTGTGGGCGTTGATAAATG